TAGATAGTGACTTTGGGGTTTTGGGGGAAAATTGTATGAATTGGGATTAAGGGTTAGGGTGAGAAATTATTGATGTAGGTTGGTATTAATTGATGAAGTGTGAAATTGGGGATTTGAAACCCCAAGACCGAATTGTGCAAGTTCTGGTTTTCTGCAAATCACAGGTCGCGCTTAGCACGCGAGGCTGCACTTAGCGTTCACACCTCTGTAACTGGAAATTGTTTATTTTGTATACCGCGCTTAGCGCGCGGGACCGTGCTCAGTGTAACATGGGACACATAATTTTGTAAATTAATTCTCCAAGTGTAGTGTTGTTCCAAAACTAGAACCGAATGCCTCCCTAATTAAATCCTTGATTTTCTGAAAGTGTTTTAGACTATTAAATATTATGATTTAATTATTAAGTGATTGTAATATGAATATGCATGGTTATGTTTGGAATACATTATGCATGATATGCAATGATATGATCACTTGTATGTTTTCTGTCTGTTCCAGTTGAACGTTCGGATGTATTTGCCGTGTGGCTTGATGTGATTACTTTTACCATGTTGTGTGATCTCGGTGGATGTATGGTTGAATTGAAGTAGTCCCGATTACTAGGTGGTAAATCAATCATGACATAGACCTTGTGTTATTTGTACTATTTCAATGCGCTTGTATGGGCCAAAATATAGGGCGTTTCCACCAATAGTTAATAACATCAGTGTGCTCGGTATGTCATACACACTTGAGCTACCAAAGGTGATGTGCAAGTGTGGGCCATAATGGCAGGGCATTTCCACCTTGGAACACATATGTATGCTTGGTATGGTGAGTTAGTGATGCCATGTAGGCAATGTCACTATGTTTGCACGCCTCTATTGGTGCCAAGTAGGCTACACCATTAGGCTTTTTCCTGGTGGGCTGGTGTTGTCAAGATGGAGTTTTTGCTATGGAGATTATAATCACATGCATTTGGATGATGGACGGGTTATGACGTTACATCGGAAAATGTCACTTATGTAACTTGTCATAAATGGAATTCCATTTGGGAATGATCTGATTCGTCGCGCTATGACTGGCGTGAGTATCTTGATGCGATGCATGAGTGTAACTCACCGAGGGTGTGAAAGTGTAACCTGGTTAGGGGAATTAACGTACTTCTGGATTCATCGTACGCGGGTACAGGTCTGCATACTTGTTTGTATTTGGATATGTGTTTGCTTAATCTCGTTGGGATGCAAATGGACTACCAATGAAGATTTTACCTTTTGTGTACTTGTACCTAGCCGTGAGGATAACCCCAGATTCAATGTGAATCGGTTTGATGCATGTATCCTGTAGAATTGTAATCTCACCCTATTCAAATTATTATTTTTCAGGTAGTTCGAGGCAGGATCGTGGCAAGGGTAAGATGAATTAGCTTGTCGGCAATGTTTCTTGGCGACATGTTATTCTTTTATGTCTTTCCGCTTTTATATTTTTGACTCATGTATTAGTATGCAATGGGATATGTATCTTTTATCCATGACAGTTTTGGCATTTGTAACTATGTACTAATACTTATATCTATTACATTTCTTATGTATGGATATTTATGCATTATTTTAATACAATATGCACATATCCTAGGCAATGTATATGTGGGGTGTTACATTTTATGTCACTAAAAGTGATTTTCTGCATTATCCCTTCTTTATTGTCTATCACTAAAAGGTGTTATTTTTGTTATACTTGTTGTTTCTATCCGTAAGTTGGTTGTCTTAAATCTCTTCGTAGTTTATAAGTTTTGCAGTCTCTATTATTGTTATTTATGTATTTAAATTCTCTATCTTTTTTTATGATGTTGACACTAAATATATTAAAAAAATTATATATAATGTTTATGGAGTTAAGATGATTAAATGAGTTTGTTTTGTATTGAATAAAATTTCATGTGACTTGTTTAGAAGAAAGTGAAAATATTATGATGGGGTGATTGAGTATTGTGGATTGAGTTCATTCCAACATTTTTAAAGAAAAGAGTTGAAAATATAAAATGAGGTGTGAGTGTTTGTAATCTATGTCGTATGCATCTTTCTTGTTGCTTGATGGTCTGATTATTTTACCCTTATGTTTAATTTTTCAAATATATAGTTATTTGAGGTCAAATTTAACTTTTGGAACACCGAGAGTTAAAAATAGATTATTAAATATTTTTTAACTCAACTAAGTTGTAAGATATATGTAACTCGGCATCCATTCTCGAAGGGTGATGTGTGCTTTAGGCATAAGCAAGTGAAACCCAACAGACCCTGAGTGTAAGTTATATCAAATGTTATGATCGTTGGGTTAAGATTGTCTGTACCATTATTATGATTGTTGACTGACTATTGACAATTTGAGGGACTGATCCACCAAGATCTCATGTTGATATTAGGAAAAATTATAATAAATGGAAATAGACCGACCTCGTTAACTGTTGGAGATTGCTAAGTTAATTAGACATATAAAGAAGTAGTATGTGACCAAAGATTTGATTTAACTATTTATTTCTAGTTGTTGATTTTAAGCTCTTGTGATTTATTATATACCATAAATGTTCAAAACCTTTCACGAGACTTAACATTTGAATATTCTAAGATATATTTTTTCCATCTTTCATAATGAATTTATTTTACTATACTTTTGTTTAAAGTAAAAAATTATTTGTTTTTTGTGTAATAATTTGTTTTACCAAACTATCTTATTTTATATGTGAATTGTAATATCATATTTTCTCTAAACATAAGAATAGTGAGAACTTTAAATTTAGTTGGATTTGAACAAGAGGATATCCTGGTCACTATTTCATAGTTAAGGGATATTTTAGTCATTGTACCTGAAATAACTGGCTAAACAATCAACTGATAATGAAATCAATAAAGTCACCATCGAACGTTTTTTATCCCACAAGAGGGGAAAGGTAAACATCGAGTAAACCTGAGAAGGGTGAAATCACGATCAAACAACCGAGAGATCGGGTAAGGAAGTCTGTTATGCAAGGGGAAGGTATTAGTATCCCACATGCCCGTAGTACTCTATGATATCCACTCTTATTATTCTAATCAAAGTGTGTTTAAGAATCTATATCTAAGTTGTACAGGGAATGCATACAAAATAAAGGAGAAAATAATGTAGGGAAAATAAAATTGTGCTCGCTCGGGGCCTACCCTAATGCCTACGTATCCATTTTAAGGAATCAGAGCAACAATAGTTCAACTTCAAATGTTTTTGTTGGTTTGTATTTTTTAATGAACAAAAATTAATTTCGCCTTCTGCCGCAACTCAACCTTTAGAGACTTACGCGTCAGTACAGAAGTGAATTAACATGTTTTTTTGAAAAAGTTTTTGAAAGAAAAGCCCGAAGGCAAAAGAGTTTGTATTTGTTGGTGTTTTTGCTGTGGATAACAACTAATTGAACTCAAGAGAGATATTTTAGCCACTTATCCACTTATTTATGAAATAAGTATTTGAGACTTGAACCATACCAAGAATTAGAATGGAAGAACAATAAGATCGAGAAGAGACTCGCTTATCATTTCCCATGCTCAACAAATGTAAGATTCTCATCAGTAATCTTTAAGTGTTTTGAAATTTGCTAGAAAAAGAAGTTTTTTTTTGTTTTAATGCAAGGATGCAAAAGAAAGAAAACTATCTAAGAGAGACTAGCCTAAATCTATCCCTAATGTTATCATACAATGGTGGTCCTATGGTTGAGTTTTGAAGGGAAATCTCTACCCTATATTGGCATGCTTCGATTTAAAAGCCTAATGTCTAATTTTAGTTCAATTAAATCGAAGATTAAATTTGAACCAAAATCACCTAAGGAATCATGAAAGACTATATAGACGAGTAAAATTAGGTAGCAAGTATTAAATTATTGCATATAATCCATACCGAAAATCGCAAACGAAATATATGACATAAAATGAGTAAAACTAGTGATTAAAATTGACTAAAAGTTAGCAAAAGGGGAAATAAATTCCTAATTAATTTTTAAAATGTCTTATAATATTTTTATCATTTTTTTAATGTATTTTGTTAAAAAAAATGAAAGAAAGAATTAAAAGAAAATAAGAGAATTAGGAGGTGCAATTGAAGTCAGGAGGTATGGTCCAGCAAGTTGGGAGCTGGCTTGGTCAGAATAAAGCCTAAATGCTATTTTTTTAGTACAATGTTGACAAGTTACCCAAAAACGGTGTAACAAGCCTACAAGGGGTGCAGGCAGCACGAGGCATTAGGCCCATTGAGAGTCCAGGAGATTTTTTTTAGCACGGTGATCATGTAAAAAAAAAATAGAAATGGGCCTAAGAATTCAATTTCAGTCCAGCAAGAACGTTCTTCTTTTTTGTTTGTTTAGTATACAAGGTGCAATCTTGGGCTTGAACGTAGGATTTTTGACCCAGGTCCACCATCTCCAACGCTCATTCTCACCGACTCTCATTACTCAATTTGAAAAGGAAGACCAAAACAGCGTGTTTTACATAGAGGAATTTAGGGTTGAAGGTTGTGATTTTCAGCCTTCTTCATACAAACTCTCGCCTCTCTTGTTCCCAACTCTACATCGACCAAAAATCACTCCGCAACGCCGGAGCTTCAATGATCACCAAAAATTCTTACATCTCTCTCTGATTCTCGCCACCGTCACAACTTCGGTTATCACACCATGAACCTCCCTTTCCCGCTCATCTCGCTCAATGACTTAGTTCTGAATCTCCTATTCGTTTTCGCCAGTCTCTATTCAATTCTTCTATATCTAACGGCATAACCTAAGCCCTAAGTTACCTCACATCAAGATTAAGTAGCGAATACAGAGCGTACGACCATGGATCCAGGGGTTGTGGTTCACTGAGCTTCGTACTCCAAAGAGGTAACAAAAGCTAAGCAAAGAGATGAAGAAAAGAGGGAGTTCGGGAATTACCTATAGGAGATGCTCCGATGGCGTTCTCGTCAACAATGATGAAAGAAAAACCAGATGAAGATTTCGAGCTTCAGGTATGTATTCCTTTCAATCCTTGCTCCTTCTGCTCCTGCTTTTCTCCTTCATTCTCTGGCTTTCGCAAATCGAATCAGCCGCGATATGTATACTGCAGTTCTTATGGCAATCCCGTATAGTTACAGAAATGGGAGGAGAGGAAAGATTCATAGGAAATAATATGAAAGTAAGGTTGAAGAAGCGTTATGGATTATAGAGAGTGTGTGAGGCTGAAGACGGGTAGAGAGAATCTGAAGATGTTGATTCAGGAATTTGGTGAATGTGAAAAAACGATTCCCTGAGATTAGAGGTGAGGTGAAGTTATATAGAGATGAAGTTATAGCTTGAAGAAATCTTGGACATTGGATGAGAAAAGTTAGTTAAGAAATCAAAGATGATATTTGAATTATAGAGAGTTAGTTACAGACTGTTAGAGTTGTTAAGAAATTGAAACCACCTTCTGTTAGCAACTTTTGTCAGTTGAGATTCCGTTAAAGGTTAGTTAGCAATTCTGTTAAGGGTTAGGGGTTAGAGAGAATTAACTAGGCCCGGAAGTTATGATTTTGTTTAGTTGTTATGTTATAGGATTATATGGTTCTGTTAGAGATTTATTTAGGGAGCTCTGTCAGCTCTGTTAGTTGTTAGAATAGTTAGTTAGGAATTGGTTGGAGTTAGTTATAGTTTGGAAAGTTAGTTAAGCGGTTAGAAACTTTGTTAATAGTTAGTCCTATTTTCAAATGATTTGATCTTTTCTAGTTTTTGTTCACTCGCCCTGGACTGAATGTATTGAGATTGAACTGGATCTTCTAATTAAAACTCGTTTATCCCTTTTTTAGACTTTACTGTACTGGACTGAAATTTCTAATATTTTATGAATTATTGAATTCTTGTGAATTTCTTGATACACGAATGTTGTAGATGTAACAGGGCCATTGCTTAAATTACTACCACTTCCACTAATATTGGTTGGCTTAACAATGGTGAAGGTCAAATGGATACCATCCCTTTGTTTCAGAAGCTCATCTACAGACTGTTTTTATTTTGTGTATCTGTCTGTCACTTCTTGATAGCGTGCCAATGCCTTTCTATACTCTGTTTCGAATTGGCGCAACTCATTCCTCTTTCTTAAAATTTGAGCCTCAATATCCTTAAGTTTTTCGGTGGTAACTTCAAGTGTTTCTGCACATACTTCTTCAATTGTATAACTAGCTATCTTAAAGAAGTTATCTCCATAAGCAACAAATATATGTGTGTCAGGCTTTAGTTCTGATACTTCACAAGGTTGAAAACCTTCCAACCTTTTAAAGAAAGCCCCTTCAGGATCCTTTTTCATTGCTAACGCGTTCACAGTTGAATCCATTGTGTACACTTGAAAATGTAAGAAGTACATTCCTGCAGATGTCACCTTCCCAGTCTTCTCACTATCTTCCTGCAAGGCCAAACCATAACCACTGTTTGCATCTTATTCAAAATAGAGAAACTTGAATTTGCTTTGTGCAGTTGAAGTAACTCTGACTAAAATTCCTGACTGAGCTTGCTGCTCACTTATTGTCACACCAAAAAATGAGCACATTGCTTCTCTACCTTTCCACTAACTGATGTTCCAATTGGAAGGGGTCTGACAGTAACCGTGCCATTCAAAGCCTCTTCAAGAACATTAGCTGAAATGGTTTCATATTTGAATGAAATTGAGATTTAGTTCTGATTATAATTTTGTTAGTTAATTGTTAGTTTGAAAAAGAATTAGAATAGTCAATACTGACAGGGCCTGATTGTTAGGAACATCAATAAATGGATAACTGTTATCTTAAAGCTGTTAAAAATTGTTATGTGAGGGATTAGGTTTATGAAATGGATATTTAAATTGACTTGAATATATGTGATGGACTGGACCGGTTTTGCTATGCATTAGCCTTTTTTTAATTTTCTGAATGAATGAACTATTTTTTCTGCTTTTTAATGCTGGGCTATTTTATGTTGTAGGATGACTGAACTAGTTCTCTGGATGCATGTTGGTTATTTGGTGCCACAAGTTTTGTGACTGATTGGAATTTGGTGATTGAATTTGTACAGGGCTGTCTTGACATGATTCAATTGGCTCTTAGAGCTTGGGGAAAACTTTTGAAGGGAGCAGGAGAAGGTTAAATCATGAAGATGAAACAAAGCAGCTTGAAGACTTGAAGAATAGATTTAGGATTAGGCTTAGAACCAATTTTTTTGTGTAATTGTGAATGTAATTGGATGGAACTTAGATGCTGTATGTATTTGAAATTTAGCTTTATGATCTGAACTTGAATGAGCTACCATGCTTTGAAATGGTTTTTTTTTATAATGGAGACTTTGATTTCAAATTTGAATTACTTTCCCTCCATTATGCTTTTAACTTGAATGAAACAATCATAAATTTAAATGGAACTTTGGCCAAAAGTTAACTTTCCCAAATTGACGTTGAACTTTATCATGGGACGCCTCGCTTCAAAACTTGAATCCAATTTGATATCTCACAAAGAATTGAATCCAAATCCATTTATATGTCGTGCCTAGATTTGAATAATGGGAGATGAATTAAGTGAACTTGAAGATGGCAACTTGAACTACATGAAGCTTCCAATATTATCTTGAATCAACCATTGGAAAATCATGAAATTGAGATCTTGATCCAATATTAATCTTGAGCATAATTAGAAGTTTCAACGAATCCAAATTGACATCTCATTTCTCTTGAAATCCTAGTTAACTTGTAATTGAAGCAACAAGTGTTTGATAGAATGATGACGTTTTGAACTCAGTGAAATCAGAATTTCATTTTCTGTACCACGGCTTGCATTTTGCAATCCAATCCACACTATGTCTTGACTTTATGGATAATAACAATGCCTTGAGGGCGCCTTGAAGTATATAAAGAAATGTAATATGAAGCTCAATGAACCTCAATCGATAGATATTAAAAATTCACACATAGAAGATGTGACACCCTAATCTACTTGTGTTTGATGAATTCTTGATGGAGGATGACCTTGTAGCTTGATGAAGAAAATATCCACAACATCCATGAACACAAAACCCTAATTCCATAATTTCACTACCTTGAAAAATAACCAGAAGTGTCAAGCTTTATTGAACATATACACCTTAGCCATTGAAAACCCTAACTTGCACAATCAACTGAACCTTTGAACCAAAGTACTTTATTGAATGCAATGTTATGTAAAATATTCTAATGGAAATATGCAGATGAATGTGAATCCTAAGCCAGATAAAAGTATCAATTAGGAGGACAAATTTTGGGGTGCAATAGTACCAATTAAATGAGAGTTAGGGAATTGTTTGACTTATGTTTCATTCCCTCAATTGTTCCAAAATAGATTTTTGAGGAGAAAGGGCGAGGAAGCGTGGAAAGGAAAGGAGAAGAGAGAAGTTCAACATCAATATTGAACCCTTGGTCTTGCATCATCTTCCAACTCTGTTCTAGCTTCCTCTTCAGCAATCTAAGGTGAGTCTCTTAGTTAGGACTTTGGGGTTTTGGGAATGTATGTTGGGACAAGGGTTTGAGAGATATGTGCATCAATAATCTTTAATAGTGCATGATTATAACCCCAATCCCGTAATACTATGTATATGCATCCTTATCTTGGTATGTATGTTGATTATTTCGGATTGCAGGTTGAAAATTGGGTTTTTGGAGTCCTAAATCGTGTTCTGCATTTTCTGATTTTTCTGAATGCAGAGAAGTTCACTTAGTGAGCTATAGTTCGCTTAGCGACATTCTGAAGCTGGAAAGAGGTCTTGTGCGGAAAACTTCACTTGGCGAGCTCTGCGTTCGTGTAGCGACAGTCTGGTACTGAAGAGAGAATTATTCGTTGCTAGTTTGCTTAGCGAGTCAGGACCTCAATGTGAGTTTGCTTAGCAAACATCGTTTTCCAGAACATGGTGAAGCTTCTGATTTCGTTCGCTAGGGCTTCGCTTAGTGAATCAGGTCTTCCTTTCTAGTTTGCTTAGCGAATATACCTGGACAAATACACATGTTTTTCCCCGAGTGCAGTTCCGTTATGTGTCAGGAACCAGAAACCTCTTTGTTGGTATAACTAATGTGTATGTGACTGATTCTATGCACTGTATGATGCCATGCTATGATCATTATGGATATGTATGCCGAATATGTGTAACATGTTGAAACCACATTATGTGAAAATTTCTATGACATGATTATTCGTATGACTCACGTTCATCCCGATTGAACATTCAGGAGTGTTTGCCTCTGTGGCTTGATGTGATTGTGTGATATATGCTTGTATCGATGTAGGCCTGGCTAATAGATTGTAAATCACGTATGACTACGACTAGTGCTATCTGATCTCTAGTTCATGTCGTTGTGATGTGCTTGTGTGGGCCGATATGATAGGGCATCTCCACCAGCAGTTAATTGCATCTACGTTCTCGGTTTGTCATACACACCTGAGCTACCATTGCCATGTGCTCGTGGGGGGTCCGAAAAGGCGTTTCCTCACTTGCGAAGATCATATCTCTGTGCTTGGTATGGTGAAGAGGAGATTCCACGTAGGCGATATCACCTTGGTTCTACTCACTTCTAGTGGAGCCAAGTAGGCTACACCCTTAGGCTTTTGCCCGGTGGGCTCATGTTGTCAAGATGGCGTCTTTGTACCATGATAGAATCTGTCCCTCACACGTGTGTATTGATGATTGGCAGGGTCGTGACGCCACATAGGCAATGTCACCCGCTGTAACTTGTCACAGATGGAATTCCACCTAGGAATTATTCGATTCATCCGGCTGTGTGATGGTACAAGTCTCTTGATGCGATGCACGTGAGTAACTCATCGAAGGTGTAAATCTGTAGTCTATGTAGCAGGTAGAACGTACTTATGGATTCTTCGTACATGAGTATGGGTCTGCATATTGTTTATGATCATTGTGTCAGGTCTTGTGCCAGATATCTCATATTGCTTGTGGCCATTGTGTCGGGCCTTGTGCCAAATACTTCTTATTGGACTGTGGCCCTGTGCCGTATTTTTCTCCATGTTACCTCGTTAGTTAGTTATGGGACTTTCAATGGTGGTGTACCCCTGTTGTGTATTTGCATCCAACCGTAAGGAAATCCAGATTCATGGTGAATCTGTTTTGATTGTATGCACCTTATAGAACCGAGCGAACCCTTAAGATAGGGAGACTCACCGAGATTTAGTAATCTCACCTCAT